GAGCGGGGCCGGAGTTAGTTACATTAATAAATAAGTCTCAATAAACCAATGTTTTTACCCAGAAACCTTTGGAAAAACCTTTACAGAAGTGTGTGCACATCTCAGAACACAAGCTCAGGTGTTTCAGGGTGAACAGGGTGTGGAGGCTGCCGGAGGTCTCTTACCGACTACATCCAGCCGGTAGGTGTGCCTGAGGCTCCCGTATTCATTCTCCACCACACAGGTGTAGTTCCCTTCGTCTGACGGGACCACCGACTCCATTATCAGAGTCCACATGTGGTCTCTGATCTGAAACCATGAAGACAGAGGAGATAATACAACAGAACTCATCTTAAATCACTTCCTGTTTTCTCTTTCCAGCAGCCTTAAACACACCTTGAAGCCTCCGATCCGTTGGTCCTTCCTGAACTCCTTCCCGTTCTTGTACCAGCGCAGGGTGGGAACAGGGTTCCCAGTCGCTTGGCATCGAAACTTCACAGTCTTACTGGCAGGAACGGCGTGGAGCTGCTTCTCCATCTTCTCTGGCACGACCCACTGAGGCGCCAGCGCTAACGAGGTAAACACCGTGATCACTGTCATTTGTGTTTGCACTGATTCATGCTTTCAACTCAAACCACCAAAGGAACAGAAAGAGAAAGACAAAGGTTTGAGGCTTACGCTGCAGCTTCTCGTTGCTTGTTGACAGCTCGTCGGACAGTTTGTTTTCCTCTGACGATGACTCATCATCTTCCTCATCTTCAGAGGATTTTACTTCATCGGCTACAAAAGAAGTTTCATGTTTAGAAAGTGCTCGTGAGCAGGGAGGCCTCTCAGCGCGAGTGTCAGACAGTGGAAACAGTTTGTGCTTTGACCTCTGACCCCGCGGCCCGGCTCAGTGTGAGTGAGGCTTTAATGGGCACAGCGCTATACCCGGCCGCTTCCCAAACTTCACAGACCTCCTCCCTCTGCGCCCTGGCCTAGGCAGCACACAACACACATCCCTGCAGTCTCAGGGACCGGGAGGACGTCAGCGGAGAGGACGGGAGCTGAACCTCACGTTTCACTTTCAGACAAACAAGACCCCCCTCAGTGCTGGTTTCTTTGGACCCGTTGGTTTGATTGGAACAGATGTTTACTTTAGTAAATAATAAACAATCAAAGCATTTAAAATGGTTCTAAAATGTTCATATCTTAGTAGAATAACATCAGAGATAGCAATTCACTTGACTCTGTGTCAAACTACTGTAGAGCTGCAACCATCAGTTTCATGGTCAGCTAATCTCCTGACTGCTTTGCTAACCAGTCCACCCAGTACAGCTTCCCAGAGTCCACGATTCAGGTGTTTAAATGTGTCTGACCAACAAAGACTTTTAATGACAGAAATGGAGAAAAGCAGCAAATCTTCACAGCTGGAAGAAGTTTGACATCTTTTGCTTAAAAGTGGACAAATCAATTATCAGAATTGTTGCAGATAAATGTTTCTCTTACAGATGTTTCCTCCAGACAGCTGTTCCACAGGGCCTGATTTACTCTCAGCCTAAAAAAGTAAAAGAAAAAACCCAAAACAAAACAAACACACAACTTTCCAACACCAGTTATTTGCCTACAGTCCCTAACTGGACCAGAAGTCAGTGAGCGCCAAGCGAATCCGGGAATCTCTGTACAACCTCATGTTGTGCCACTGAAACTGCAGCTACTGTTAAACACATGACACAGTTTATAAAAAGAGCGAGTGCCTGTTAGACAGGGCTGGCTGTGAGGAACGCTTTGTACCAGCAGGGTTGGCTGCACAGGAGAATCCTCTGTCTGAGCTCATCCTCAGTCTCACAGCAGAGAGCGCAGAGGAGGCAAGAGGTTTGATTCCACAACCGAGCCAGGTGGGAAATTGAAAGCAGGCTTTGTTTATGAAAGGAGACTGATGTGAGCAAAACAAGACTATTATGGGCTGAGAAACAACAGTATCACGTGGACTCGCTCTCAGCTGGAGTCCAGATGCTGGGACCAACGTTACACACACACACACATACACAAGACCTAGACATGCATATGCACACAGACACTCAGAGGAAGGAGCCTGAATGTTTTCTGCAGAGCTGATCAGCCACAGAGAGTCTGCATACCCGGGCTGTGTGTGCACAGGACGCACAGACCATAACCAGCAGCCTGAGAGCCAAGCCTCGGTTACACCAGGAAAATCAGCCCGACCAGCCTCAGATGCTTCAAAGACAAAAACAGCCTGACCTTGAAAAAGTCACTTTCCTATTAAAGAAACTCGCTGACTGGAAAGTTTCATAAGCTCTTATATAAAACAGAGACTACACTCCACAGCCACAGAGCTGGGATCAGACAGGAGAGCCCTGGAACAAAAGAGCAGAGCAGAGAAGCACACCAGTTCAAAAAAGGCTCTAACACACCAGCGGCACCAGTAACTGTGGCTGTGACACCAGTCTGCACTGGACAGACGGACTGAAAGTCCTCATTTCTAGTAAAACCTAAAGAGCCGCAGCTTTAATTATAACTCACATAGTTAAGAATGATCGATCTTAGAGGTGAAACAGTGAGTCGGTGAATAATTACAGCTTCCAACCGTAACGCCGACTGTGGCTTTACCGTTAATAAACACCACAGGGGGCAAGTCTCTCATCAGCAGTTCAGGATGTTGTTCACACCTTGTTTTGCACAAACAACAGCCTGAACCACGACGAGATTCAGTTTATTATTGCATGAGAAAAAGAAAAGCAACATTTGAGAACCAGAGAATGTTTGACTGTTTTTTTGAATGATTATTTGATTAGGAGAATAATTCAGCTCTTGGCCCTGAGAGGACGGAAACAAGAAGCAACAGGAACAACACAAGTTTCTGATCATATCATGTTTAGCACAGACCACAAACACACAGCTGAAATTCAGGGATGACATTTGGATGTGTTACCTGTGTGTGTGTCCTCTGCAGCTGGTCTGGACTGAGCCAGAGGACAGTGAAGCAGCAGGAGGAGGAGGACGAGGAGGAGGCAGCGGGACGAAGACATCATGTCCTAACACGAACTCACTGGGACACACAGCAGCACAGAAACAGACAGCAGCATTAGAGTCACACTCAGAATCCTTATTGCTTTTTGTCTGGGGTTTAGAGAACAGGTGTGGATTCATCCGCCACTGAAAATAGTCCCCAGCAATTTCCAGTCTGCCTTTTCTTTATAAAATGTCAGTAATGAAAAAGGCCCATCAGACTTTCCCAGAGCCCAAGGTGACGCCTTCACGCCTTGTTTTGTTTGAGCAAAGTCCCCAAACACAAATATACTCAGTTCACTGTCACACGTGACAAAGCAAAGCAACAACTTGTCACAAGGGCAGCTTCTACTGTAGGGACGTGGTGATGTGGACCCATCAGCCTTTGACACCCAGACCCCCCCTAGTTCACCTGTGGATATCCATCATGTCACAAACTCTGTGGCAGTAAACCACACATACCGACAGACGTGCACACTGCCTAAAACACACACACAACCATTTGCTGCACGTGCTGTGTCACTGTGAAGGTGTGAAGTGGAGGCCCCAGTTCACCTGTGGATGTCCATCATGTCACAAACTCTGTGGCAGTAAACCACACATACCGACAGACGTGCACACTGCCTAAAACACACACACAACCATTTGCTGCACGTGCTGTGTCACTGTGAAGGTGTGAAGTGGAGGCCAATCAGATACCCCACAGGCTAAATGTGCTGGTAGTTAATCTCTTTTCTGAACTAATTGACTGTAAATGTTTATGAGTCATGAAAAATGTCCATCAGAGGCTCCCAGATGTTTCATCAGACCAGCCCTAAGGAATAGTTTACAGTCATAGAAAAGGTAGAAAAGCAGTAAATCTTCACATCAGAGAAGCTAGAAACGGTGCCGATTCGCTAGTTTTCTTGATAATTGGCTGAAACAGCATCAGGGCTTTTAGCTGCATCTCCTACAACACCAGGACTAACCAGGAGGAGGGAGGTCCCTGTTGGCACACCTGGGTGATGTATCGATGTGAGGAGGGTTACAGGCTCCGAGGTGGACGAGTCACATGCTTCATGTACGCCAGCAACACAAGTTCAGTTTGAATTGTCAGCTGGATGGAAATGCAGCGGCTGGTAAACAGGAAGCCTGTCCACGCTCCCACACAAACCCGATGGGAGCCAGTTTCACAGTCGGGCTCTGAAGCGGCAGTAAAGGACAGTAAACACAGTAGGACACTCACGTTATGAGCCTCATAAACCCGATGAACAGCGGCTGGCTGTCATCACTGAGCCCTCAGCCTGTGGTGTCCAGCTCCGACTGACCTGTCTGTCCTCCGGCCGCATGACGCTCACACCAGCGTGTGTGCAGAGTGTGTGCATGTGGTGGAGGCTGGTGTTCCTGAGTATGACGAGCACAACGGCAGAGTGTGCCGGGTTGTAAAGACATGGTTAAATACTCACGGTCATATGGGGGGGGACACTTAAATGAATCAGGCTGTGGTCGTGAGTTTCACGTGTCAGGCCTCACAGAAACCTCCAGGACGACGACTGTCTCTTCTTTCTCTGGAGAACGCAGCGATCTCCTCTGTCCCTCCTACACACAAGCAGATTCAGCAAACAACGTGACAGTGGACTGATTCAGACACAACTTCCTGCACCAAAATGAAAGCTGTCATTGTTCAGAGCACAGCCACTTTCCTCTGTAAATAATGGGGCTGATTGGAGCTCATACACAGACACATCTGCACCAACATCTGTGTCAGACGATAAGTCAAACGGCAGAACACAAATGTCACACATGCACATCTCCCAGCCCCTTCAGCTTTCACACACCTTCACCAAAACAGCTCAAGATATAAAGAAGCCAAGTGCAAATCCCTTGAAGACAGACCGACGTCCAGCTGCTCAACCACCACAGGAGGACGTCTGAGACAGCTGTTCTGTGTCGTTTTCCCCTGCACCCAGTAGTAAACATGTCAGGGATCTCCATCAAGATAGTTTGTTTCTACATTAAAATGATGAGCAACAAGAAAGAAGAGCTGTGAGGAGTCAGAGGCTCAGGTGGTGAAGAGTAAGAAGAGGGGCTGGCGTGGTGATGTGGGTGGAGAAGCTCCACAGGTGGTGCAGTGGGCTTACTGGTCACTTTTTAAAGGTTTCACAGCAAAGCCTCTGAACGGGGATGTAAGAAAAACACTCCAGATTCATAAAGCCTGAACATTTCCTCTGGCAGCGACGCCAACGAGCTGAGCTCAGCGCTCAGGTGTTACAGATTTGTTTTAAACTCCCACAGACCTCGTATGGGTCGCTGACTGCTTTACTGGTACCAAGTTCAGACTGATCCTCAGTTGGCATTCCTACAATGTTCATTACTTTACCAACACGGAGGTATTTTAGTCAGGACTATTGTTTTGTTGTCAACGTGCCTCTGTGGGGAACAGAGCAAATCAGTCCTTCATACGTTCTTAGATTTCCCTTTAATCCTCTGCGTACACACTCCACTGACCCCTCAGCCTCGAACCACCCCGGCCCCTTCCCGCACTGAAGCCCTCACCTACACACCAGATTCTGCAGCAGGCTGGCAGCTCTGAATAGCCATCTTAATAACCCACCAACTCCCAATGCCACCCGCCCATCCGAGGTGGAAAACAGCCAGCAGCCAGCGCCTGGCAGGAAGACAAAGCTGCTGGTTTAGAGGTAGAAGGATTTAAAACTCAGTTAAATGAGCTTTCAGGTCCTCGGGGCACCCCTCTGTGGACAGGCTGAGGGGAACGTGAGTCAGACCACATGAACACCATCAGTGTTTATGATTTAACAGCAGCTCAGCCGAGACAGACCATCACCAGCTCACCGTGACAGTCCCTGAACAGGCTCATTAACCGCGCTGCTGCTGGGAAACGACTCATTCTGGGCCCCAGCTACATGAGCTGTTACCTCCAGGTAATGGCATGTTTAATAAGTCACCTGGAGGAGTCCTGCATTCAAAGTATTACCTGGGTAAAAGTACATAAGCACATGAAGTAAACTATCCTCCATCGAAGTGGAAAGTGCTTCTGAACATTCCTGGGATTTGGGTTGTTGGATCGATAAACGACATCAGGTCACCTGGGGTTCACCAGCTTCTCACGGGTGGTTTTCACCATTTACTAACATTTTAGAAACCAAGTGTTTAATCAAACTATGACAAAAATAACTGGCAGACAATGTGATAATGAAAGCAACCCTCAGTTACAGCCCAGTGACAGTTAGTTACACAACCTGAGCCCTTACACTCTATGAGCAGCTCACAAACACAAAGTACATCAGTACTTCTGAGGTTTTACAGTGGGATGGTAACTGGAACTCAAGGAAAAGGCTTCTTGCTAGTGACAGATTGTGGTTTTACATACAAAACCTGTCATCAACATAACATGTGATGCATTCTGATGGACAAACCACCCAACATGATATAACCTAGTTAAATCCAGCTCGGCCTGGACCAACAACACCTTAACGTTTTCGGTGCACGGCTTTTCCACAGAAAATACAAATAGATGTAAAAAACAAAGTGAAAAGGAAGAAAAAGAACTGCTTCAACAAAGCTGTTTGTGCAAAGGACCCACAAAATCAGCGCAGTTCACTGCGACTATTTGCACCAAAGAGAAACGCGCGGAGGTGAGACGGACTCGTACCTGTTGGTCCACAGTGGATCCGGAGACGGAGCAGCTGTCCCGGGTCTGTAAACTCTGACAGAGTGCTGTGTACGCGAGCAGACGTGCTCAGACGTGTCAGAGCAGTTTAGTGACACACACACATTTCACCTGCCTGAGCTCATCTGCAGGATGTGAAAGCTCGGCCCCGCGGCTCATTGACGGGACCGTCTGGAGAGAAGGAACGCCCACGGTGGGTGTTTCCTCCTGCACACCCCACTAACTCATTCACTCCGCTTTCTGAGTGGCGCGATCCGGCTGCACGCACGTCCTCCAGGGACCATGCACTGTGCGCGTGTGTGTGTTTTTATTGCAGCAGGAAGGAGAGGATTTCCTCTGGTCCAAACTGCTGGGCTATTGATTTGTTTTCATTTGGTCACTGAGGTTTGGTTGGGGATTAGGAATCAGCTGTGCAGAGACACTGGGATGTCACATGACCGGATGTACGTCATGAGAACTAAAATAAATAAATACAATTAATAATAATAGTAGTGATCTAATTTCTGTACTTTTCTTACTGAAAGCTCAAAGATGGACACACAGAACTGGAGAAACACATTTCAGCTGCTGCAGTGAAGCTTTGATATTTAAACAAGTGATTTACACTCACAGCGTATTAAGCTGAAGCTCAGTCCAGTCAGCACCTTGGTGGCACTACAGGAAAAGTCAGTGCAGCTCCACCGTCATAAAGATTGATGAACTTTAGTTCTAATTAACTGTCGTCTGTTAATGAAGCTACAGAAACGACTGGCTGAAGCTTCTGTGTGAAGAACAAGAGGAGAAAGTTTCTGAACGTCTGCATCTCTCTGCTGTGATCACAATCAGCTGTTTAGACCGGGTTACATCACAACCCGCACACACAGACACACACACAGTGAGCGTCCCACACATGGATTCCTTTGTGAATTCACTGGCACATGGGCATAATGTCCTTTTGAGAGTGTCAGGCTGTGCACAGTGCGTCTGACTGTTTGGATCTGGCTGAGCACAGACAGAGGATTGTGTGATCCCTTCGCCCAAACAGACACAGTATGGCTGCTCTGAATCTTGGCTGTTTTACTGTGAACATGCACTTGTTTCACTTAGCTAGTTCTTACACTGGCACAAACATGATGAATCCAGCTCCAGGAGGATGAACGGCACCGTATGAAAACTGGACTGGAGGAGGGAGGTATTGTCTCCAGAGCAGCTCCATGTCTGGGACGTTACAGAGGGAGGAACGTAACAGCTCAGGTCTGTTGTTCTGTTTTACAGAGGATCCTCTGTGCTCTGTCCAGAAGGCCGGCCTACCCAGCCTTCACAGCAGCAGTGGAAGAAGTACTCAGAACCTTTGGAGTAAAAATACTCCATTCCATGTAAAAGTACTGCATTTAAAAGTGCACATAAGCAAATTTATGCAAGAATTACTGGCAGGTTGCTAATGAATGGCAGACTGTTGTAGCTGATCCAGGTGCAGCTCTGCACCTCTTTGGGCTTCAAACTGTCACCAAAACACAATCAACTGAGGGAAGTAACTTCAGCTGTGGTGTCACTTCATCTCATACGTTCTATTTAATATGTGTCAGTCAGAAAAACAGGACAGAGACATTCATGAATGAGGTGAAGGTTTGTCGGTGACGAGTCGGAGTCAGCTGTAGATACTGGAACAATGCCACAAACAAACATTCCTTCGTTTATAATAAAAACAGTGCAGATAGAAAAAGGAGGCCAAATTGCACTGGGCTCAGAAAAGAATGCAATTCAAAGCAAAAGAAATATTTTCAGTGGATTATGTACAAGTGTTAATGCCCGGGATCACTAGTAAATGTGGCGAGGTGGATCAGTGTGTGGGCATGTGGACTTGACTCCTGTTGAACAGACTTTATTGTCTTTATGCCTTTGTGGTTACAGTATCTCACAGCTTCTAACTTTGTGCACCTGTTACAGGACAAATACAACTGCAACAAAGGACTTTGTACTTTGTAGAACATGACTGTTTAACAGCTGGTTAATGAAGAGCTACCGCACTCACACCTATGTGAGCTTTTACAGGGTGAATGTGGCACAGATACATGCACGTGGGGTGTTCAGTCTCCTCGCTGTGATCTTTCCTTTTCAGTTACTGACTTTAGGTCATGAATGTATTATTAAACCTGAATTCAGCAGCGACACTTTTAGCCAATTGTCCCCAGTGGCCACTGGCGGTACTGCAACAAAAATCCTCAGGGGCCCAAAATTCATGCACTGCATAAACCACAGTGATAAAAGAGACAAACCAGTTGACAGGACACCTCGACCTATAAACCAGGTCAATTATCACTCTTTGTATGGTGAATGGTTAATCCATGGAGGTTTTATGTTTGTAAAACTTTCCCAAAGCCTAGAAAGCCGAGTTTTATTTTTGTGACATCATCCCAGTGTAAGGTCTATGTGATGAATGGGAGCACGTGGGCAGCGCCAGTGGGGGAAACACTGATGTGCACGGTGGACAGTGCCAGTGGGGGAAACACTGATGTGCACCATGGACAGCGCCAGTAGGGGAAACACTGATGTGCACGTGCAGTGGGTTGCACAATGTGGAAACAAACTCAGAAGAGAAGGATTTCTGCCAAATGTGCTGGGCGAGCGACTTGCATACAAGTGACTGGGTGTCAGACCAGAATCCAGGTTTTCCTTGCTGTGCTTCAGGTGGACAACAGGATCCCTACAGTGTGATGGATGAACTGTGAGCAGCGGCATGGACTGTTGTTTCCTGTTTGGCATCCAGCATCCATTAGTAACCCAACATGCTGCTGCCACATAGCCTTTATTTATAGGAAGCTATAGGCCTTTTGACTCTGTCTGCAGTATATACACAGTATATATAAACAGAATGTGAATGTGTGTGTACACGTGAGTCAGTGCTACAGATAAACTGAGCTTCATTTAAAATAAACAGAACAGAAAGTAGATGCAGTGTGAAGTACAACACACGTTTCATCATATTGTCCTGTGGGCTGCTTAACAAATCCCATGAACAGCCCACGACCAACAATGGCTCAGTCCATTTCTCAACACTGTGACTCCTCTGCTCAGCTCTAGGCCCAGTGCTTCCTCCAGGAAACCTTTAGTTTCATTAAGAAAAACCTCAGCTGCTCACTGGAGTTTTTATCAAACACACAGGATGAAGCAGTGCATTTGTTGGGGACTATTTTCATGAATGAACGATGAACCCACATTTGGTGTCTAGTGAGTGGAGCCTGGTGTCATGGGGTTAAAGAAACGGTTCCTAAAGAAATAATTAATGCACACTAAACAAAAGCACATGGTTAAGGCGCAGCGCTCTCGCTGCTGCAGCCCGGGTTCAAATCAGGGTTACGTCAGGAAAGGCATCCGGCGTAAAACACACGCCAAATGTCAACATGCGAGTCGTCAGTGTGACAATTCACTGTCGCAACCCCTAAACAGGAAATGCCAAAAGTGACTTTCTAAATAAAATCACATACACAATATAAACTGAGCATGAAATAAAAGCACATACACAATATAAACTGAGCATGAAAGTATTTGAAAGAAGAAGCTTATACGTGCACCCTAGTTCTGATTTTTGCCCAGTATTGTTAATGTATTTATAAGAAAGTATGTCTATGTATCTAGTCTATTCTGGGCAGCCCAGAATAGACTGCGTTGGAGAACTGTTGTAGAGGCCCTTTGTTCCACGGGGAATCCAAGGAGATAAGAAGAAGAAGAAGATGTCTATGTATCTCTGATGTAAATAAAAAACATCTTATTTCACTCTAATAGAGGAAAGGTCCTGCAGGCCTACCCCTTCAGTTGACACGACCAGCTAGACTCAGTAACACCTCACAGCTGGTTGCCTTATTTTATCTGGTCTATATCTGCGTGAATTTGTCAGTGTGTCTGTCAGCTCTTGCCTCAGAGCAGAGTTCAGTCTTTATTTTGGACATTCCCTGTGAGAGCAGATGTCTCAGAGCTGGCGAGCCAAAGCCACAGCAGCCCCAACCCCAGCCCAGCACTAACTACTGACCCTGTTAAACCACGCAGTCAGACCAGGCTGGACCCACCCAGACCTGAAGTTAGAGCCAAACCCCAGACTCTGGCCAGAGCCAGGAGGTGCCAGGCCAGACAAACGCACCAAATCCAGCCTCAAGACTTCTAACTCCTACAGCAAACACAGGTGCTCAGATTCAAACATGCAAAAAAAAAACTCTTTAGACTTGCACAACCCTTTTCAAAACAGGAGTCAGAAGTGAAAAAGTTAGAGCTGAGTTTTTAGGCAAAGGATCTGAGTAGCAGGCTGCTGTAGCTGATGACTGCACTCTGACTGTGTTCATCTCTGTCTCATTCACTCTCCGACTTGTTGTGGTGCAGCCTTTGGGATTTTTCCAGATCCACTTCACTGTGGAAAACCCCAAAACCATTTATGCAAATTAGAGATGAAGTGACCTCAAAGGCCGTGCTACGTCTGACCAGCACAACACAGGAACATCATGAAGGTTCAGCTAGGAAGGTGTGTAATCAGCCCCACTGAGCTCCACGCTAATGACAGAGTTCATGTTCAGGAGAGAGTTTTATAGGAGTTTTACAGTGTGATGCTGCCCTGTGTGGTTGTCTAATGCTGCTGTCAATGTGTATGCATGCACACGTTTGTGGTTCTTTCTAGGGGTTTGGCTGAGAGCATCCTCCCTGAGGTCATGGACGCTGCAGCCACAGGGGGGTTGTTGTGGAGCTGGTTTTGGTGTGGCTGGGTGGGACAGAGATACAAAGACTCCATCTAAACATTCCCATCCTGGATGCCACACTGACAATCAGAGTCTACAGGATCGTATCTGTTTACAATGAACTGGGTTTTTCTTGGAGAAAAACAGGAAATGATGTTGAAGCAGCCTGTGGGGGGTTCTTGTAAAGTTTCAGTGATTCTCACTAAAATGCAGTGTATCAACTGTGTTACTGCATTTTCTTCCACATAAAACGTAGTATAAATACATTTTGAAGCACATTGTGTGTTTTTATTGCCACCTACAGATCATCAGGACCACTGGTGGGACTGTGTACCCATCACACACTAAAAAGCACTAGAGGTCAATGCAGACCTGCTGATAAAGGGAGGGCAGGTAAAGGAGGTGAGATGGGCGGCATGCTTTTATTTTGATGGGGCTGATGCTTCTCAACAGTAGTTTTACAGCCACAAAGTAACTGCTCCAGATATTTAACATGTGCAGTTTAGTGCAGATGGAGAGGAAAAGATTGGGCTTAGTATTTA